GCCATGGCGTCAGCCTAGCTCACAGCAACCTCAAACTCCTGGGCTCAAGCAATCCTCCTGCCTCAGCCTCCCGAGTAGCTGGGACTACAGGCATGCGCCACCATGCCCGGCTAATTTTTTATATATATATATCAGTTGGCCAATTAATTTCTTTCTATTTATAGTAGAGACGGGGTCTCGCTCTTGCTCAGGCTGGTTTTGAACTCCTGACCTTGAGCAATCCGCCCGCCTCGGCCTCCCAAGAGCTAGGATTACAGGCAGTGAGCCACAGCGCCCGGCCTCAGCGACATTATTAACGAACTGGCAAGAGTTCCCGAGTGTAACCTCCAGGCTCTGGATGTGGATGACAGGACCCCTCTGCACTGGGCTGCAGCTGCAGGGAAGGAAGAATGTGTACAGTCACTGCTGGAGTTGGGCATGGACAGCAACCTGCGGGACATCAATGAGAGCACGCCACTGGCCTACGCCCTGTATTGCGGCCACACGGCGTGTGTCAAACTCCTCTCCCAAGAGAGCAGAGTACAGCCTGCTCGACCCCTTCCCTCCCAGAACAGTCGACCCCAGAAGAAGGAGGGACGGTTCAGCGTGCTCAACCAAATCTTCTGCAAAAACAAGAAAGAAGAGCAAAGAGCCCATCAGAAGGATCACAGCTGGGACCGACACAGGGGGGGCGACACCTCGGAAGTTGATGACATCATCACTACCTTTGACAGCATCGTGGGTACCAACTGCCAAGAACAGCCTGGTGAACAGGTGGCTATGGTTGAATTTAAGAAGAGGACCTCAGAGAATTCAAAATATCTCTTGCCAGAAAAGAAACCGCTGGCCCCTAAGGGGCTTCCACCAATCAGAACGCAGAGTCTCCCACCCATCACCCTGGGCAATAACTTCCTGACAGCCTCCCACGGGGCCACTTCCCACGCAGGCCTGAGCTCTGGTCCTCACCCTACCGCACAGCAATCTCAGAAAAGCCGAAGTGAGCAGGATTTATTAAATAACAGAACTGGCTGCCAAGTGTTGCTAGAGAACCACTGGAGAAGTGATCCTAATCAGGTGTTCTCCTACAAATCTTGGACTGTGTCTTCTTCTGATAAGCTGCTAGACAGGTTACTCGCTGGCCGGCCTGGTCACCAGGAAGTCTTGGTGCCACCACACCTTCCTCATCTACATAGTCCATCATCAGGACAAAATTTTCATCATCTTTCCCCAAACAGACCCAAAATCAGGGATCTTCCTTTCACTCGGAACAACCTAGCTCCCCTACCAGACCAAAAATTTCTCTCTGGAGAACCTCTACGGACAAACAGAGTGCTTCCTGCTATTCCAAGCCAGCGGGGACGCAGCACACCGGCTGAGGAGCGTGAGGACTCCGGCAGTCCTGCCAACAGTGAAAAGTGACTGTGGCTGCCAACCGCAAGAAATAGAGATTATATATATTTTCAGCTCTCAAAGGATGAGATGCCTCTAGTTTGTAAGAACAAAGACTTTAGTAAGCTGCATTCTATAAGCCATTCAGTTTTATAACTCAAAATTCTTTATTTCAAATAAAGATAACTTCCTAAATAAGCCCTTAGAATCTTTGAGCGTGCATATATTGTAAGTCTGTGACTTTCTGTGACCTCTACATGCCAAAATTAAAAGACAAAATATGTTAGCAGGGAAAGTTAGCTGTGTTTGGTTTGCTTTGTGGCATGTTTGCTGCTTTTTGTTGTCATTGTTTGGTTGTTTTTTTTTGCTGAATGATTTTATGTTTTGAAAAATATATGTATGGTTTGCTGAATAAAAAACCAAAAAAGCACACACACACACACAAAAAACATAATGTGATACCATGTAACCCCAGGGAGAATGTCCTGTATCAAGAAATCCCCAAACAACAAATGCTGGCAAGGATGTAGAGAGACAGGAACACTCTTACACTGTTAATGGAACTGCAAATTAGTGCAACCTTTGTGGAAAAGAATTTGGAGATACCTCAAACAGCTACAAATAGAAATACCATTCGACCCAGCAATAACATTGTTAGGCCTCTACCCACCAGCAATAGCACTGTTAGGCATCTACCCAAAAGAGCATAAGACATTCTACTATAAAGACATCTGCACCTGAATGTTTATGGTAGCACAAATCACTATTGTAAGAACATCGAAACAACCCAAGTGCCCGTCAATTCATGAGTGGATAATTAAAATTTGGTATATGTTCACAGTGGAATATTACTCAATTCTAAGAAACGACAGCGAGCTAGCACTGCTTATACTATCCTGGATTAAGCTTAAGCCCATTATCCTAGTGAGGCAACACAAGATCAGAAAAATGGGCTCCTCATGTACTCACTATCAAATTGGTACTGACTGATTAAAACTATGGTGCTCAAATGGTGGTAGTATTCAACAGGGATTCATGGGGAAGGAGGAGTAGACCCACATCTTAGGAATGTGGTGAGCATTGTGAAGGGGAAGGGCATATCTCTAACTCCTTCTAGAGAGAGGCAAAGATATAAAATGTAACCAAAATTTCAAAAAAAAGAAACATTTATCTATCGGGTGTTGGGCAGGTGGGAGGGTGGAGGAGGGGATGGGTGTATACTTATGTAATGAGTGCGATGTGCACCACCTGGAGGATGGACGTGCTAGAAGCTGTGACTTGGTAGTGGGGGGAGGGGTGGCAAGGGCAATATATGTAACCTTAACAATATTTTTAAACCCATAATATGATGAAATAAAAAAATAAAAAAAAATAAAACCCAAAACAACAAATGCTGGTGAGGATGTGGAGAGACAGAAACACTCTTACACTGCTGGTGGGACTGCACATTAGTGCAACCTTTGGGGAAAAGAATTTGGAGTTACCTCAAAGAGCTAAAAGTAGAAATACCATTCGATCCAGCAATAGCATTATTAGGCATCTACCCAAAAGAGAATAAGGCATTCTGTTATAAAGACATCTGCACCCAAATCTTTATGGCAGCACAATTCATTATTGCAAGGATGTGGAAACAACCCAAGTGTCTGCCAATTCATGAGTGGATTTTTAAAATTTGGTATATGTTTACAGTGGAATATTACTCGATTCTAAGAAATGCAGTGAGCTAGCACCACTTATATTATCCTGGATTAAGCTTAAGCCCATTATCCAAAGTGAGGTGACACAAGATCAGAAAAATGGTCTTCACATGTACTCACCATCAAATTGGTACTGACTAATTAGCATTATGTTACTCAAATGCTGGTGGTGTTCACCAGGGATTCAGGGGTTGGGGAGATTGACTCACATATGAGGGATGTGGTGAACATTGTGGAGGGGAAGGGCATACCTCTAACCCTTCCTAGGGAGAGGCGAAGTTATAAAATGCAACCAATATGTTTGTACTTGCATATTTTCTTGAAATAAAATTTAAAAAATGATGTTTATTATATTTAATTAGCCTATTATTATTATTGCTGTTGAATTACAATAGTTCCTCATATACTTTAGACATTAATGCCTTTATAAATTATATGGTTTGCAATTGTTTCTTCTCATTCTATGGGTTGCCTTTTCACAGTGCTAATTGTTTCTTTTGCTGTGCCAAAGCTTTCTATTTTGATATAGTTCCACTTTAATCATGCTTGTGTCTTGTGTTTTCATGTTCATATCCAAGAAATCATTGCCAAGACAAATGTCATGACACTGTCCCTATGTTTTCTTCTAGAAGTTGTACAAATTTACATCTTATATTTAAATCTTTAATCCATTCTAAGTTTGTTTTCTGTGTGTGTGTATGTGCACATATGTGTGTGTGTGTTGTGTGGTGTATGTATGGTGTAAGATAAGGGCCCAGTTTCATTCTTTTTTGAATGTGGATATCCTATTTTCTCAGCACCATTTGTTGAAGAGATTACCCTTTTCACATTGAGCATTCTTGGCAAAGTCGTTAAAGATCATTTGACTCTATATAGTATGCATGGTTTCATTTATGCACTCTTTATTCTTTTTAATTTCACTCTATGTTTGTTTTTATGCCAGTATAATGCGGTGTTAATTACTGTAGATTTTTAATATATTTTGAAATCAGGAAGCACAATGCCTCCAGCTTTGTTCTTTTTTGTCAAGATGGCTTACGCTATTCAGGGTTTTGTGTGGTTCCATATTAATTTCAGGATTGTCATTTCTACTTTTGTAAAAAAAAATCATTGAGGTTTTAATTGGGATTACATTCACTCTGTAAATCATTTTGGGTAATACAGACATTTTAATAGTATCAAGTCTTTTGATTCATGTATATGAGATCCATATTTCAATTTATCTCTGCATCCTTTCATTTTTTTCATTGAAGTTTTATAGCTTTCAGTGTACAAGTTTATCATCTCCTAGGCTAAGTTTATTCCTACATATACATATTTTATTATTTTATGCTAAAATAAATGGGATTGTTTTCATAATTTCATTTCAGATAGTTCACTGTTAACATATAGAAACTTACCTGATTTGTGTATGTTGATTTTATAACCTGCAACTCTACTGAATTTGTTCATTAGATCTAACAGTTTGAGTGTGTGTGTGTGTGTGTGTGTGTGTGTGTATTTATAAGTATTCTTTAGGGGTTTTCCATATTATATTATGTCATCTGCAAACAAAGGTAATTTACTTCTTCCTTTCCATTTTGGATGACTTTTATTTCTTTCCTGGCCTAATTATTCTGACAAGACTTCCAGTACTATGTTGAAGTGATAAGAGTGACAATCCTTGCCTTTTTCTGATAGTAGAGGAAAAGATTTCAGTTATTACCACTAAGTATGATGTTTCTATTATGATCCTCTCAATAAACACAGAAAAAGTATTCGATAAAATTCAGCATATTTTTTATGATAAGAATGCTTAACAAAGCAGGTAATGATGGGACTTAAATAAAAATGATGAAAACCATATATGACAAACCCACAGCTAACATCATACTGAATGGGGAAAAACTGAAAGCATTCCCACTTAGAACTGGAATTAGGAAAGGTTGTTCTCTATCATCACTTCTATTCAACACAGTGCTGGAACTCTTAGCCAGAGCAATCATACAAGAGAAGGAAATTAAGGTCATACAAATGGGGGCAGATGAGGTTAAATTATCGCTCTTTGCTGATGAGATGATCTTATATCTAGAAAACCCAAAAGATTCAGCCGTGAGACTACTGGAATTGATAAACAAATTCAGTAATGTCTCAGGTTAAAAAATCAATGTACAGAAATTCATCACAATCAGATTCATCAAATTCATACAAAATCAATATACAGGTATCATTTCTGTACGCCAACAACAGTCAAACTGAAAACCAAATCAAAGACTCAATAACCTTCATAATAGCTACAAAGAAAATAAAATACCTAGGAATATAATTAACTAAGGAGGTTAGAGACCTCTAAAAGAAGAGCTATAAAACACTGAGGAAGGAAATAGCAGGGGATGTAAACAGGTGGAAAACCATATCATGCTCAAGGGATGGTAGAGTCAACATTGCTAAAATGCCTATAGTACCCAAAGTGATCTACAGATTCAATGCAATCCCTATTAAAATACCAACATTATTTTTCACAGATCTAGAAAAAATAATTCTATGCTTTATATGGAACCAGAGAAGGACTCATATAGCAAACACAATATTAAGTGAAAAGAACAAATTGGAAGACATCAATTTACCAGACTTTAAGCTATACTACAAAGCTGTAGTAACTAAAACAGCATGGTAATAGCACAAGAATTCTAATAGTTTCACACCTAAGGTTCAAGTCTGTTACCCAGAGTGAGTTGAATTTTATGAGAGGTGAAAGGTGTGGGTCTTGTTTCAGTCTTCTACATGTGGCTATCCAGTTTTCCCAGCACCATTTATTGAATAAGGATTCATTTCCCCAGTGTATGTTTTTGTCTGCTTTGTCAAAGATTAGTTGGCTATATGAGGATGGTTTTATATCTGGGTTCTATGTTCTGTACCACTGGTCAATCCCTAATAAGCTCCATCAGGAACAATAAAGGGGAAATCACAACTGATGCCACAGACATACAAGATATCATTTATGAATACTGCAAAAACCTCTATGCACAAAAATTGGAAAATGTGGAGGAAATGGACAATTTCTTAGAAATACACAGCCTTCCTAGGCTCAACAAGGAAGAAATAGAATTCCTGAACAGACCAATATCAAGTACTGAAATTGAAACAGCAATAAAAAAAACTTCCTAAAAAGAAAAGTCCTGGACCAGATGGTTTCACACTCGAATTTTACCACACCTACAAAGAAGAACTAGTACCTATCCTGCAGAAATTATTCCACAACCTTGAGCAGGATGGAAACCTCCCCAACACATTTTATGAAGTGAACATAACCCTGATACCAAAACCAGGAAAGGATGCAACAACAACAACAAAAAACTACAGACGAATATCCCTTATGAATATAGATGCAAAGATTCTCAACAAAATCCTAGCCAATTGAATTCAGGTGCTTGTCAAGAAAATAATTCATCACAACCAAGTGGGCTTCATCCTAGGGATGCAGGGATGGTTCAACATACACAAATCTATAAATGTAATTCACCACATAAAGAGAAGCAAAAACAAAGACCATATGATCCTCTCAATAGACGCAGAAAAAGCATTTGACAAAATTCAACACCCTTTTAT